TTCTTTCCTTTCCTCCCAGCTATTGTTTCTCTTCGTTTGAATCTTATTCTATTAGACTCTTTGTTCCTTTACAACTTCGGGTTGCAGTCATCTATCGCCCTCCTGGTTCTGCTACCCAATTCCTGTCAGACTTTGAATCTTGGCTGACAATTTTTCTATCGGATGCACTACCCACATAGATCTTAGGTGACTTTAACATCCACATGGACGATCTCAATAATCCTCCAACGTCTCGCTTCAGCTCTTTTCTAGCTTCTTTCGGCCCTCACCTCATTCCAATTCTTCAACCCATTCTCTTGGTCACTGCCTTGATTTAGTTCTTGCTGTCAAGTGTGCTATTTCTGACTACTTAGCATCTGATTTTCCATTATCTGATCATCATTTAAATTCTTTTACTCTTACCTATATCCCACCTCCTCGTCATACTGCTCAACGCTATTTTCATGATCTTCAGTCTATTAACTGTGACCTTCTCAGTCAGTCTTTGGATTCTTCTTTCTCTTCTTTATCTTTTGGGGACTCCGCTGACTCAGCAATGTCTTTACTTAACTCCACTCTTTCTTCAACTCTCGACAACTTTGCCCCTGTATCTGTTCCCGTGTCCTCCTCTATGAACAGGCCTCACCCCTGGCTTACTCCCATAGTTCGGCTCCTCCAGTCTTGCTCTCGAGTGGCCCAACGTCTTTGTAAAAAGTCCGGGGAGTGGGCTGATTTTATTCATTATAAATTTGTTCTTTTATCCTTCACACACGTCTTGTCCATGGCAAAACAGAACTACTTTCAATTATTGATCTGCGCCAATGAAAGGAGCCCACAGCTTTTGTTTTCCTGTTTCAACACTTTGCTAAAAGAACCCTCTCCCACTGTTTCTTCATTATTTTCCTCTACCTACTTTGCTAACTACTTGATCACTAAGATCACTACTATCAGATCTGAAATAGTTCCTCCTAATTTGTCTTCTCCCACTAATCTTCTGGAACCTTCAACTAATCAGTTCTCTGTGTTTCCTCCTGTTTCTCTGGACGAACTCTCTACCCTGCTGTACACTTCCAAACCTGCAACTTGTTCTCTTGATCCAATTCCCCCTCATCTCCTAATCTCTATAGCCCCTTCGCTTCACTTCTTTCTATCTTTAACCTCTCTCTTTCTACAGGTTCTTTTCCCTCAGACTTTAAACATGCTCTTGTTTCCCCTATCTTGAAAAAATCTTCTCTTGTCCTCTCTTCTCTGTCCAGCTATCATCCAATCTCTCTTCTCCCTTTTCTTTCTAAGGTTTTGGAACGGGTCGTTTATTCTCACTGTCTTGAGTTTCTCAAAGCCAACTCCATTCTCGATCCCTATCAGTCCAGTTTCCGCCCACGGCACTCTACTGAGACAGCCCTCACAAAGATCTCCAACAATCTTTTATGGGTCAAGGCAAATGGCCTTTATTCTGTGCTCATTCTCCTCAATTTATCTATGGCATTTGACACCGTGGATCACTGTCTTTTAGTCTATATACTTTCTGACAGCGGGTTCTTGAACTCCATTTTTGACTGGTTTAAATCTTACCTGTCAGATATATTTTTTGCAGTGGTCACGGATGTTCAGACTTCATCCCCCATTCCTTTATCTGTTGGAGTTCCTCAGGGCTCTGTTTTGGGTCCCCTACTGTTCTCTCTTTACACATTGTCTCTAGGAAAACTTATCAGCTCTTTTGGTTTTTCCTATCATCTGTACACCGATGACACTCAACTGTATCTTTACACCCCTGATCTCTCTCTAGGGCTTGAACAGCAAGTTTCTTCATGTCTCACAGCTGTCTCTCTGTGCATCAGCATTTGAAGCTCAACATGTCCAAGACAGAGCTTCTTGTCTTTCCGCCTAAGTCCTCCCTTCAATTCTCTTTCTCTGTTTCTGTCGACAACACCTCTATTCATCCGGTCCAGGAAGCCCGCAGCCTCGGTTTCACTTTTGACTCCTCTCTGTCTTTTATCCCCCATATCCAGGCCACAGCCAAAATCTGCAGATTCTTCCTTTATAATATTGCCAAAATTCATCCTTTTCTTTCAGCCTCCACTGCCAAGATTCTGGTCCATGCTTTGATGGTTTTCCAATTAGACTACGATAACCTCCTTCTAGCAGGACTTCCTCTCTCATCTTCACCCTTTAATTTCTGTTCAATATTCAGCAGCATCACTTCCACTCGCTGCTTTCATCATGTTTCCCCTTTGCTATCTTCTCTTCACTGGCTCCCCTTTCCCTTTTGTATCCAATATAAGCTTCGGTTGCTAACTTTCAAAGCCCTGCATGAGCTAGCCCCTTTTTACCTATCCGAACTTCTCTCTCCTTACATTCCCACCTGTACCCTCCATTCTAGTACTCAAGACCTGCTGTCTCAACCTAGGATCTCCACTGCTCCATCCTGGATTCGTCCCTTCTCGCTTACCGCCCCTCACTCCTGGAACCTTCTTCCCCTCGAACACAGGACATTACTTCTTTGACAACTTTTAAATCTGAGTTAAAGACCACCCTGTTCAGGGAGGCATTCCCAGGCACTGTCTAATATACATATATTCCTTCTGTTATTTGGGCAGACAGTTGATCTTCTTGTTTAATTGTTTTTAATTGTTCCCTGCTTTTAATTAATTTTTTTATTTTACCTATTGTTTTTGTATTTTTAGATTGTACGCCTTTGGCTGGTTTTTATTTCAATGCTTTGATTATCTCTTTGTACAGCGCTGTGTACATTGAGAGTGCTTTAGAAATAAACTTTAATAAAAGAACTTTAAAAGAACTTTATTGCTGGAGAATAAAGAGTTATTAAGCCTGGAGGGAATAGATCAAAGATTCGGCCTGTATGCATACTTACTCTATGAAAAACAGAAAATACATAAAGACTTTGTTAACCACTTTGTCAGAAAATCACTAATGAGGATATGGATTAAATATAAAGATAGAGTGTGTCCGGGTATACTACTATGGACCTCAGTCCATGAAGCCTTTCATAATAGAGAAACAATCCTACAAGAGAAGTGGATTACATATAAAGATCTAGTCACTGAGCCTAGAGATAATACAAATTTGAAAATTAAAACCCTTGAGCAGTTGTTAGGCGAAGGCTGTTTGATGGGTTGGCTGTTAAATAGGCAGTTGAGACAAAGATTTCTTGTAGACCAGAAAACAACCAGGATAAGGACAGAAAGAACTAAATTTGAGGAATGTATGATGTCAGACAACACACACAAAATAACTTTATATTGTAAGTGTTTAGTGGAGATTGTAATGGAGGATGAAGTAGTAAAGGAGCATATGATCAAGTGGGCACAAGACTTTAAACAGAACATTTTACTGTGAAGAAGTGCTCTGTGTGGCCAGCTGTTGCTCCATCCTATGGAATCCTGAGATTTGTAGTTTTACCAAGTCTTTAGCCTTCTCTGTCAAAGAGTGCTAGTGCCTAACAAAACTACAAATCCCAGGATTCCGTAAAATAGAGCTATGGCAGTTAAAGTAGTGTCAAACTGCATTATTTCTACAGTGTAGATGCATCCTCTTATTGGAAAGCTAAGGTAAGTGGCAAACCTCCTCCTATCTCCGGAGCAGTTATTAACATAATGAGCAACATAACACATCACTAAGAGAGCCTCCGGATGGAAGAAAAAAGACTGAAAATAATGAGAATTTCTAATTCTTTTTTCTTTTGATTGCATCTTTTTCTTCTAGTCTGTTTCTTGAAATATGTAAGTTTCCCTCCCTCTTCTGCTTGTATCCAGTCTCCTACTGATCATGTGTCACATCTAGTCTCAGCCAACATTTCTGAAATTGATTTTCACTGAACATTTTAAAATTATGATTTAGAAGTTATAGTCAAAGTGCTAAAGTATATATCAATATTACACTAGTTAAGCATTAGAATAATTTTGTTTTAATGCTGGCATTCCTCTTAGCCTCACTTGATCTCTGTTGTCTCAACATTCTGGAAACAATATCTGTGTTTACTGGCAGTGGCCATCACACAAAGCAAGTACAGATGCATTTCATTTCAGAATACACTGAGTTAATTTAAACTGACCTGGGGAATGGGAATGAAAAGCCCTTGATAATGGTGGGAACTCCTAGGAAATACCTTTATCCTTTATCCCAGGATAAAGAAAATTTCATGTGGATCTCCACAAAAAAATCAGAAAGCACAAGAACAAAACCCAGAATTTGCAGGGTTTAAAACAAGGGCACCAAATTATTTTTATGGGCTTCCTACTACATAACATAAGAAATCACAATTTTTTTAATGGAACTTGTTTCTAGCACTGGTCCAGTGCTCTAGTTTATAACAGAATTGATTAGTTTATTCCTTGCTCAAAGTAATGCCGCCACCATTTTATATAATTTTAATTTTTGAAATATACCATCTCCTTGTGCCTTCCCTTTTGATCAAATGTATTTTGGATCCACACATGCTTCATCAACAAACTTTCGAGGAAGGAGCTTTTTTTGTTCTGGTCATGTTTTTATGGATCTAAGAAATGTTTAACATGGTACTACAAATGTCCTATTTTTCTTCATTCTCTGAGCAGTGCCAAGTGCAGACAAGAGTTAGGGCACATCTCCATTGTTTATTCATTTGTATGATGTTAATATACTCTTTAAGCTCATTTAGTTTATTTGATGTGGTCTAGCAGAGAGTTGAATAACTAGTTTGCTCTTGCTCCAGGCTTTCCACAGATCTGAAAAGCAGGAAATAGATTATGGAAGTTACTTTTTTTATTCCCAGTTCAGAGATGTCTCTGGTTAAGGGCAGATGAGCAGTTCAATAAGATCCAGACACCGCTGTAGAGCCTTTTCTCTTTGTCTTTACATCTAGTTGTTGTTGTGTGCTTCCCAGTCATTTCTGATTTATGACAACCCAAAGGTGACCTTAGGTTTTCTTGACAAGATTTGTTCAGATGGGGGTTGCCATTGCCTTAGCCTCCATCTGAGGCTGAGAGAGTGTGACTTGCCCAAGGTCATTCAATGGGCTTCCATGGTCAAGTGGGGATTTGAACCCCAGTCTCCAGAGTTGTAGTTCAATGCTCAAACCACTACACCTCACTTACTCTCCCTTCTCACCTACTAACTTAGAATACATCCAAATACAGTACTTGCAATTACTACAAAATTCCAAGAATGGATATGGTGTGAAGTCGGTTGCTTTCATGGCCAGCATCCATCATTTTTTGTGGGTTTTTTCAAGCTGTGTGGCCATGTTCTAGAAGAGTTTCTTTCGGATGTTTTGCCAGCATCTGTGGCTGGTATCTTCAGAGAAGATGCCAGCCACAGATGCTGGTGAAACGTCCAAAAGAAACTCTTCTAGAACATGGCCACACAGCCCGAAAACCCACAAAAAACAATGGATATGGTCCTTAGTTGAGATCCTCCATGAGAAGATGTAATGCAAAGTTCTGTTCTGGGGGAACTATAATGCCTCTCCCCTCCCACAGGACTCACTTTCTTCCTGTGCCCCTCCAGGACAGCCATTGTGTGGCCAGTGGAAAGCAGAGGTGTTAAAATAGCATCTGACTATGTCCCTATAGCCAGATGCACAATGACAACATTTTCCAGGACCCCCAGAAGACTCCTAACCAAAAGGTCTCAAAAGATTTATTTGCCAATCTGCATCTGACAATAAGAACACTGACAGATGCTTCTTCTTCCAGACCCCCCTGCTTAATATATCATATTTCTTGGAAGGATGTTCACTATCTAAACGTTGGGTCTCCTCCAACAATACAGGAGTAGGAGTTTCGGAGCATTGAAAGGACCAGCCATTCAGCCTGACAGAAACCGTTGGGTTCTGGAGACTGATGGAATTTGTGGCCCCACATTGCAATCTGCCATCACACACTTGTGAGGTCAGCCATAAACCCAGGCAGATGGGGGGGGGGGGAATACTGGCTCAGCTGCATGGATGAGATAGTACCCTTCAGTTCATGTTGGACTAGCCAGGCTACAGTGCATACCTATCTCTCAGTCACAGCACTCTGGTAGAAAGAGGCTCTGTGGGAGACAGGAGAGTGAGAAAGATTGGGGTCTTTCTTCACACTGAGATCATGGTCTAAATATAAGCAGAAATCAAGATGGTGAGCAAGTGGCTGGTGGAGCAGTAGCTAACCTGTGATTGTAGCAGTGGAGAGAAGTATGTGCTGAAGGCAATGCAGGAGGCTCAACTTATGACCATCAGCTGCATCATTCACAAATCCAGCTCATTTTTTAAGTTTAATGGGGAAGAAAAATACACCCCAATACATTGCCATCCACATGGTGGTTTGGTGTGTACCAGAAGATTGCATGCTATTTGCTTCTGCCAAAGCATCAAGGGCAGCCAGGCATTATGGGGGAAATTATATGGCTATTAAAGTATTAACTCTAATCTTATAGGGTGCTAAAGCATGACATACATTTGATTTAAACTCTTTGAGAGTTTTTCCAGGTCACTTAAGATCATGCTTCTTATGCCATCCTTGGGACACTCCTGACGAATCCTTCATGCTAAAGCTGGCCTTCTCCCTTTTAAGGCCATTATTATGTACTGCCTGAAACTGAGTCATACGTCCAGCACAAGCTTACATAAATTGGCTCTTGCAGAATATTCAGTAGTTATGAAAATCAGATGTAGCCATGTGGTCCATGAGTAAAAAACAAAAAATAGAGTTAGAAAATACTTTTATTAAGACCATCCAAGTGTGACAAAAGTAAGCTTTTGCTTTCTCCAGAAATGTTTATCCCAAAAGATCTGGATACGGTAAGGAGAATATCCAAAAATCTGGCCAGATGTAGCCACAGCTGAAGTGCGGCTAACTCCTAAGATGGAAACTGTAGTTTTGGTGTGAAGGTACCAGTTTATGCCAATGTTGTTTTCTGAGGTGCACTTTGAATGGCACTCTTTTAATTTCTAAAGGCAAAAAGACTGGCTGAAACCCAAAGACCACTCCACCTTCTTGGTCAATGCACTCCATGTTGGGTCCTGGGTACTTCTGATAGCCTCTCTGTAACTGAGATAATAAATATCTGATGTTATGGTTTGCCCTTGGAAAGTCTTAGCAGATTTCACGTAATACTCCACAATAACCTGAATAAAGAGAAGGTTTGGGAGAAAAATGCACAACTTGACAATTCACAGTTCTCTTTACAGTTTCATTACAAACTGATTATACTACCAGCAATATGTGCAAGATCCTCCATCATATGAGGCTGGCTTGTAAGTTTCCTAATTATATCTTTCTCTTTACCAATGACAATTTTATAACCATACATACAGAACAAACCCAACAACATTAAGTCTCCTTTGTGAGAACTTTGGAGGTTGTTGTACCATATCCATCACAATGGGCACTTTGTTCCTGTTCCTGTTCTCTTACAGCCCTTTTCTGAGTTTACAGATTTTGATATGGTTTGCTTCCTGATAGTAGATAAAAATAAACCATCTACACAACATCTTTACTGTGATGGTTTATAAAACTGGGCATTAATTTGTACCATAAATGTCATTTACTGTTCTGGTAATCATTCAGTTTGCTGAGTTATGGAACACATGCTTTCCATGCAGGAGGTCCCAGGTTCAGTTTTTGGACTCTCCTTCCAGGGAAGGAAAAAAATCCTACCAGAAGCTCTAGAAATCTACTGGCTTTCAGAGTTGGCATTACTGGGTTAGACGGGCAAGTGCTCTGACTGAAATTCCCACTCTATCCAAAGCCCCTGTGTGTACCATCAAAATGTGCTCCAGAGAGTTGGACACCATCCAAAGAATGCTGCAAAAGAAGAGAAAGCCTTGTGCATGAGCAAAAGTCCCCATGTGTGATATTGGATTCCACCCTTTATTTCTTTTGTGATTTATGATTATTAGAAGCATAAAATCATAGATTAAGAAGGGACAGCAAAGAGCATCTAATACAACCATCTGCCTGTTCAGGGACCCTGAACAAAATACATCCCTGAAAGGTGTCTGGCTAATCTCCAGTGAAGAAGAGTTCACCACCTTCAAAAGCAACTCATTTTACTGTAAAATAGCTCTAACCAGTCTTTCTGGATAAGAACATTTTTCCTGATGTGTTTCTTGATGTTTAATCAAATAACACAAAAAGGCAACTAAACCAAAACAAAATTATTTGAAGGCCACAAATGTATATATACAATAATATAATTACAAAAACATAATTAGAGAAGGGAGAGTAATGTAAACTGAATCATAACGTTTAGATCAAATCTTCCTTCTCTTTATTTGAATCTATTGGTTCAGGTCCTACCTCCTGCAAGATCAGAAAACTAGCTTGTTCCAAATTTATTTATTTATTTAAAAATAATACTTGAACTGGACTAGAAACTCACCTGGACTCCACACATACTTATGTAAAGAGAATCCTTGCTTGCTCTAATCACGTCTCTGAAGAAGTAAGTGATAAAATTAAAAAGACTATTGGAGCCTGCACAACTAGAGCTTCCAAACATCCATGTGGTAAACATATATTGATCCTTGCATATAACTGTGCATGCACAGAACTCTACTGCATATGGGCATATTTGGAGGACAGCCAGTGCTAAAAAAGACATTTCAGACTCTGATCTCTGCCAAGAATTTCTGAAGTTTTGCAATTACACTTCCCATTTTTTAAATTTTTAAATGTCTCCCTCTCTCTCTATCTCTATTCCTCCCTCTCTCCCTCCCCCTCCTTCACCACCACCCAATTGCTACATGAATGACCCACACAAACAAAACAGGGAACTGACTAAATGTGGAGGTAAAACATGGAAAAATGTAAATGACTAAGCCTGAATGCCATGAAATACCAAAGTAAACAAACAAAAAGTAAGAGAAAGAGATCATTTGTCAGAGCTCGGGAACTCAGAGTCTACGAGCAATCAGTGAGTGTTGTATGATAAACCAGAACAAAACTTTATTGAACTCACAATGCCAGAAATTCACCTGTTCAGTGTTTAAGCTGGAGCTGCCTACAATAGCACAACAGTATATTTTAAAAAAACAATCCACAATCTACCCTTGAATGTCAGGGTAGGCAAAGTCTTAGGCTCATAGCCATATATTATTTCAAATGGAGAGTCTCCGGTACTTCGATTAATAGATCCATTGAACACCACCTCTGCATGGGGCAACAGATCATACCAGTCATTTTGTACGTAGTTTGTATAGCATCTTAAATATCTCTCCAGTGAAATGTTAGTTCTCCCACTCTGCCCATCCATCTGTGGATGATGGGGGGTGCTTACGGCCACCTCTACCCCCAATTTAGCTTGCAACACACACCAAAACTGGGAAGTAAACTGAAAGCCTCTATCACTCACAATCTTATCTGGCAGGCCATGTATTTTATAGACATGATTTATGAATAAATCAGCCAGTTTAGTTTCAGTGGGGAGCACCTTGCTCCCCACATAATGCACTTGTTTTGAAAACAAATCTGTGACCACCCAGACTGTGTTTCTCCCCTACTGTCCAGCAAGTCATTAATAAAGTCCATTGCTATGTGATTCCAAGGCCTGCCAGGGGTCTCCAAAGGTTGTAAAAACTCACAAGGTTTCCCTCCAACCTTTTACATAAGTCTCTACATCTGTTCACACTCCTTCCCACCAGTACTGTCTGCAAATTGTGTGCCAAGGTTTTAAGTAACTCCAGTGTCCTGCAGCTTGGGAGTCATGGCAAGTCTGTAGCACTTTAAGCCTTAGTGTCTGTGGAACATATATTCTCAGCCCTTGTACCACAGTCCATTTTGTCTTTTTTTCTAAGGACTGATGTTGGTCCTGCAACCATGCATCCCCCTCCACTGCCTTCTGAATCTCTACATGCAGAGGATCAAGTCCCTTTGGAAGCTCCTCCTCCTTCTCCCATGCCTGGCTGAGAGTCACAACTGTTAGGCATGGTAACGCAGCACATGGAGACCACGTAACGTGAAGCA